GGTAGAGATTGAAAAAGGAGAAAAGGTAAAGTTAAATTGGAGCAAGCTGGCTCCATGTTTTTTTCTCTCTCTATCTCTTCAACTCATGCATAGTACATGTACAAGCTGTTTGCTGCTGCACAAGCAATTGAGTTCTCTGTTGGGTGCCAAGCCATATGCAGCAACTTAGTTGTGAAATCGTATGCGTTCCCATTCGCCTCTGCTCCGGGACTCTCTGATCCTGCATCCAAACACATGTTATTTGCTTTCGAAGAAAACAGTAAAAGGTCTTGATGGGTTTTGAATCAACTGCAGCTTCTACTACTAACCTCGTCTAACCACGCGTGTCATACTGCCTAAAGTTCTGGAAGGTCTTGCAGGTGTCTGAATTTGCCTCCTGTTGGACGCAGAAGTTTTGCATTGATAAATATAACCACTTGTATTAACTTGTGTTAACTATCAATGTTATCTGTTTTCCCGAGTTACCTCATTGGGTTTTTGCTAGCTTCCAAAGTTGCAGCTTCAGTACTTCCTGGAGAAGCTCCAAATACACGGAATAGATTGCTGGTATCACCCGGAAAATTAAGCATAATACGCTTTGTCATCTGTTCATCTCTTATATAAGACCGAAAAAGAAGTGTATTGATGAGAAGACATGCAAGCAAACCTGTAAGAGCCTGTTGCTACCCTCAATCCATCGCCACTCAAACAGCACTCAAACTTATCAAATATAGAGTCATTTTCATATAAATCGCACAGCTGCAATCGGGTAAAACATCAAGGGGTTAGTTTTCAAAAACAAAGGATGCCAAATAAAGAATCTATGCGATTTATATGGAAATGACTCGTACCCTGGGTCTCAGATGTTCATGAACCTGGTAAGATGCAACTGGACCAGAATCCATGTTTATGTCCCACAGCTGAAACATCGAAAAGGGCTGATATCAGAAAGAATTGAAGAAATGCACCTATACTGGCCTACAATGAGAAAAACTATACACAAGGGAACAGGGTGATTAACAACCTTGAGTGTCATGTAATCGCGACTAAGAATGTATCTCCCATCCTTTGAGAATTTAATATCTGAAATTGAGGCAATTATCTCTGTGAAAAATGATCGCGAACCAGGTGCTTCCGGTTCTTCAAATCTGTGATATGAAACAACAATGGTCAATGATTTGTAACTTTTAGCTAAATAGACTTCACTTCCAAGTCAATTCTGACAAGATAAGAGAAACAACGAGAGTTAACCTACTTATTCATATCCCTCTTCTTACTTAGAATACCACTCGAATTAAGCACATATCGAAACCCGCTCTACATATCCAGAAAAAAAAAGACTACCCTTTTCAATAAAGGATGAGGAGAGAACTTACAATTTCGTATGAGAATCACACAGAGCTGATTGTCGCATATCAATCAAACGGATGGAGCCTTTCGAACTGCTATATGCGAGCATATTGCAATGGATAGGATGAAACTCAGCTGATGTAATAACCTCTGCGGAGACCATGCAGTATTTAGAAGCATGCTCAATAAGCATATTATTTTATATAGAAAACGTGAAAAGAGGAAAAATTAAAAGCGAGTAAAATGAGGCGGACGTTTAACATTTGAATCAAATTCAAAACAATAGAAAAAATAACTAACAAACCAAGGGAGAAAAGCATACCAGTTAAGTCCTCCATGTTTGTGGGCTTAACATCAACAATATTGAAACTCTGGTTGCTGATTTCCAAATTCCAGAGATTCACTCGCAGATCATCAGCCGAAATAAAGGTCTCTCCATCACTTCAAAAATCAAGGGAATATACATCATTATTACAAGGAACAAAACAATGCGATAATGCTGCACGTCATGCATGTAGAGAATGGTAGCACGAAGTGACTTGAAAAGAGATCTAAAACAATTATAAAAAAAATATTAGATATTAGGATTTTAATTTTCTTTTCGAGATATATGGAAAATCAAGGAGAACAGCAGAGAAAACGTGGTAAAAAAAAAGATAACGAGAGTAAAACACATAACCTGTGGAAAAACTTAGGAAATGATTACCTGCTATTTGATATAGAATTAATATGGTAATCATGAGCATGAGCATAGACTCTCCGACATCGAGCCACAAGGCTGGTCTCCTGGCTAGTCACCTAAATATGCAGAAAGACCCATTATTCCAAGCAGAGTATCAATTGACTATAGTTACAGCAAAAGGAAACACGAGTCACTAGTAAATTCCCTAAGTTTCACAGCTCAAGTAGCAGGATCATAGACGCGATGACAACATCCACAAGTTCCAGTCTCAAGGTAACAAAGCAATCAAAAAAGATTATTGAATCAATTGGAGAGAATCTAAAGGCATGACAAAAAAAAAAAAAAGTATTTAGTGGACAGGCTGGATATCACTCACGTCATTTGCCACAAAAAAAAACAAAAAAAATATTGCGTTGAGTACAACTACCACAGGCAGACGCAGAGATGGAATGCCTCCTGGTGGGAAAGAGAAGTCATTGCTCGGATAGCCATGTGCAGGTAATCCATTAGCAACTAACCGATTCGGGCTATTTGAGTTACTTGAACTTGGTAGACTGCTACCTCCTGAAGCTATCGACGGATCAATATTCATTTCAGAAATTTTCTTGACCTTCTTCTCTTGTACCTGTTTGATCACATAAGAGTGGAGTCAAATATTCAGAGGAAGCAAACAAGTCTTGGCAGCATAAACAACCAGTTACTAAACCATTGTCACATGTCACACCTAATATATTGCTACACTGTAAACAATATGAAACAAGAATAGAGGAGTGACTTGGACAGAAACCGCAATGTTATAGTGGCCTATAATTTTGCAGGCATGAGGTAAAAACCCATCCAGTTGTCGCACCTTCCAATATTTGATGGTTTTATCGTTTGTAGAAAGCAGAAACAATGCACCATTTGCTGGCTGACACCATCTGATTTTGTTAATTTTCTCCTCTATCTCCAAACTCTTGAGATAGTCAAACTGAAACAGATTAAAGAGCAAGCTTATTGTGCAGCACAAAAAACACAATTACACGTAAGTGAAACCCAGTGATAAGTTTTAACATACCTCTGGTTCATGACTCTGAAATTCTGTTTTATATCGAAACTCAGGATGCCTAACTGTATAATCAGTCTCCTCAAGATCCCTCCTGGACCCCCCATGCTGAAAATAGCATTGCACAAGAATGCATTACAGAAGAAACCAAATTTCAAAAGAAAATTGAAGTAGATCTCGCAGAAGAAAAGGGAACACACATCTTTAGTATCTGTCCTCTCAAACAGAACTACTCGGCCCCCACGGTCACCAGTCGCAAGATGGTCTCCACTTTTATCAAACTCGATGGCTGAAATGATGTCAACTGCGGAACAAAATTGAGCAAACAGAATCATTACACCAGAAGTCCGCACTACATTGTCGGAGCTAAACACATTATATCCTTTAAACGCAGCTGGGATATTTTTCTCCATATCATAGAGAACATATACCGGTAAAAAAAAATTGTACGATAACATGAGAAATGTTGAGATACAGCAGATGAAGGTTATCTCTACATTAGTACTCCTGGAAGCCCCATCAGTCAGAAGATAGCAGCTTTAGGCCAACTCAATATTACAAATTCAATTCATGGACCAGAAATGCATAATCATTGATAACCCTTCACACTTGTTGCTCGGGAACCCAATTTATCAAATGCTTTTCTTTGCTATTTTGTATAGGCAAGAAACATTCCACCAGTGGAAACAGTATCCATGGCTATGACATTGAACAGACAAAAGCTTCAAGCTAGATTACCCTCCTCATTTCAATTGAAAACTACCATTAGCTTATCAAATCTACAAAAGTGCTGTTACACTTGTACAAAAACTGAGAACTTTCCAACCTCATAGAGATGCTTCTCATACCCAAACTTTCTCATAGGAGTTAGAAACCCTACTACAGTGCAATCGAAAACCCGGAACCAAAGTCACAGAGTAGAGGATATAACTCACTAATCCCTATCATCCAAATCAGATCCAAACCACAAATCAAACCCTTAGTCCTCAAATACCGTCCGGATCTAAAAGACAAACTCTAATCACCCAAATATATTTGACAATCTATAACCGCGTAGGCAATCATTTACCTTCCTGGACTTCTTCTCCGGCGGTTCGTTCGCCGAAGACCTGAGAGAATCTCCAGTCCAGAGACGGAGGAGGGCCACTAGTAGCGGCATCGTCACCACCGTTCATTTTGAATTTTTGGTGTAGATAATCCAACAAAAGGGATACAAAATTAAAAAAAATCCGAGCTTCGAGAAAAATAGAAATCTGAGCTTCCAAATCTTTAATCACCGAATCGAAGATCGCGTCATGACCATAACCAAACCGTTTGATTCACATTCCATTCCATAGTTTGTTCATGGATTCTTCGCGATTGAAACCACTTGATCGATGATTAATTTCG